ATTTGTAATTAATGAGTGAGATTAGTCACTGATAGATGCAGATGTTTAATACTATATATATACAAGTTCTCAAATGAAGATGTTTCATTATCGTTGTTTTTGCACTCTTTCTTTGTCAACTAAGTTACGCTTCACGACACGTAGTCATGTATGTTAGAAATTTCAAATATCATGAATTAGAGGTGATGATGAATTTTAAGTGGAGGTGGGGGAGGATGTGCAGTGGTCTCACAATTTGGTGTCATTAATTGTACCGCTCTCTGAGTCCCAAAATATATTCTAAGCTGGTTTGGTAGTTGTTTTAACATTTTAAAAAGATTATTTTATGATAAATTTTAGGTTTAAATATTTTCAAAATTAATATGGGTTATCAAAAACATATTTAAAAACGCTAATGTTAATTAAAAACGTTGTTCTCAAACAAATAACTTTTTATTTTCTTTATTTCTTCTTAAGAAAAAAATATGTGGCTTACATCATTAATAGCGTTTTCTTTTTTCAATATATATTTAAAAAATTTATTTGAATTCAAACGTCCAAATTTATTTTGGGAGAGGGAGAACATTGCAACTTGGAGTAAGAATGGCTAGCTAGGTGCAATGCATGTTTTATATAATTGGGATAGTGTCCTGCAGTGGATATTAGGCAGCCTCAATACGATAGAATGGGGCCAATCATTTGCATATTATTTAAAATATACTCCGTTCGTTCCTAAATATTTGCAGCATTTGCTTTTTCAACAATCGCGAGAACTTTTGTTTATTTTTACGTTTTCATTGGTTATTTGATAAAATAAGATATTAATGACCCCTCTTATTCTGAAGAACTTTTCATGTAATTTTTTGATATGTAAATTTTATTTTTTATTTCTATACCAATATGCAAATAAAATGAATTGAAAAAGTTTGATATTTTACTTCGGGAATACAAGTGTGACATATTTAAGGACGGAGGGAGTAAATAAATTAATTAATAAATAAAATCAGAGGTCCTACATACAAATTAAATCGACATGATCATTACGCGAAAGAAGATAAATTGAACTATTGATCGGACATTACCTACAAAAATAATATCGTTTTATTGGATAATTACGAATGTCTCCGAGCTCGATTTGAATTTTTTTTAATTTACATAATTTCCCTCATTACATTATGGATAGTTTGAATTTTCAAGTAGATATATCTACTTGTAGGAATTGAACTAGATAGAATGAATCATAAATCAAGAGCATGAAGTCACGAAGATAATGCAAGTCATTAAGTGGAATGGTATAGAGGTGTATGGTTTGTTTTCTTTATCAACATTTAACTCTAATTATTCAAGCTCAAAATCTAGCTAGTTTTGACATTCTATATATTTCCCCTCTAAACTTCAACTTTTGAACTCCAAAGTTTAGTTAAAGTCAAAGTTATACTCCCTTAGTCCTGGTATATATAATTGTTACACGTTTTCTTTTTTTAGGATATCTTTAAGTTTCTCGATTTTCTCTTTTTTAAAAGTAAATTTCAATAGCTTTAGATATTCTTTAATACTTTTTTCAAATTTTGTAAAGTCAACCAAGAAGAGAATTTGATTTGTTTCTATTAGAGTACCACTAATCATTCTTCTCTATTTCTCTTGTACATTATCTACTTTTGATATTACATTAGTTACTCATTTAATTTTCTCCACCCTTTTCTAATTATTCCTCTACCTTTTTAATTATTTTTTTTCCACATTTCATCTCTTCATTTGAACAAAAAAAAATTATTGGCCAATCATTTTTTTTCTCGGGGAATAATATTCTCCCCCTCCTCATCTCTCTCCTTTATTCCCCTTCCCTTTTAATCATTCTTTCCTTTTTCGCCCTCCACATCATCTAATTCATCCCTTCGTTCCACTCCATTAGTGATGCCCTTAGAAGTTTTAAAGAGATTGTATTTATTTTGTACTTCATTTGTCGCGAGAAAGACTTCATAATTGACTTTTGTAGTTAAAATGTACAAATTTGGACGACTACACAAAAAAGAAACTGTGAGATTTATTTTAATATTAAAGAAATACTCGGGGTGTTAATAGAATTCTTTTTTAGTCCAAAAATTTCTTTATAGATATTTTGCTTTTTTGGGTCAAATTTTATAAACTTTAACAATAAATTATGAAAAATGTATATTTCATTATAATTTAAATTTAATATGATTAATTTCATTTTAATATATCAAAATTTTATAACATTTATTTACTTAAAAGTGCTAGAATATGAAAATATCTCTTATGCAAATAACCACAAACTTGAGTTTTTACTTGAAATATTCCATTTACATAGTATCAAAGTCTTCGTAACGAAGAGATGACAAGTTCGAAACTCACCCGCCAAAGGATGACTAGACCTGATAAAGACACTTGCACTAGATACTTAAACGGACTTTATTATGTCTGACATAATTTTCTTATAACACAATGATCAAGAATCGAGTTGGAGACTTGCGTCTTCTACCACCCTTGTCTTTCCAACTGAGCCACGCCCCGCTATGAATTTAATTGAAAAAAATCAAACTTTGAAAGGAAATTTGCAAAAGGATAATAACAAAAGTCGCGTGTTTTGTTAAAGAAGAGGGCGGGCACTGTGCGGGCGTGGACCACTTCATCTTCATCTTCTTCTTCTTCCCCTTTCCTCCGTTTCATCCTCCCCATTTCTTTCCCACTTCTATTTCTAATCACTTTTCTTTCCCCTAACCGCCCAATTACACAGTGTATTTGGACTAATTAAGTATGTTGACTCTCCCCTATCATTTTTTAAATTGCTCTTATCCTATTATTATTATTATTATATTCTCCATCCAAAATAAATTTCAATTATTGAGTTATTAGATGGTGTTTATTCGAGCCCATATTATCATTGTTACATTGTCACACTCACCACATTGTCACATTGTAACTGTCACACTATCACGTCCACACTAACATTCGTCGCTGCCAACCACCAGAGTGCGGACGCGGATCATCGATGATTGACTGATCACACCGATGTATTACACTGCCATCATTTTTTATCACATTCTCATCGCGTATTCTTACACGAGATTATAATTATACTTCAATTTTAATCTAAAAAAAATTTAAAATTTATTTTATTATATTTTCATACTTTTTAATTATATCCATAGATATTTTTTTAATGGCATTTGAGATAGGCTCCTAGTATTGGTGTTGAAAGACTTGAGCCCCGTCTCATCACGAGTTGACCATTTCTAGGGGAGAATTAATTAATACACCTTTTCCGGCCCAACTGTCACTTTGTGGTTCCCTAAAATTTAAAAAAAAAATGGAATATTAGTGTCATGCCAAGACAAAATTACAGGTTTATTAGGATTGGAACTTTCCTTTTTCTACTCTTTCCAATTTTTAAAAATGATTCTTTAGTTTACGGAGTAATTTTTATGTAGTTTTACTTAATTTAATTAAAATAGATTTTTTTAGCCAAATAGTCTATCAGTCCGAACTAATTGTCTTATTTTCTTTTTTAATCCATTCTAAAATAATTGTCATATTTCTTTACTTATTTAATAAAATAAAGAAGATGTGGTGGACCAATTTTTTATTTCTTCTAATCGTATATCGATCATCTATTTCTTTTATTTTTCAACATTTTCTTAATCTACATAAAGTCAAGCTAGAATGTCTAATTCAGAATAGAAGAAGCATTCATTATTATAAAATTAAAATAAAATAATTAAAAAAAATTAAACGTTCAAAGGAGGATTGCAAGGTGTGTACCTTCCATGCCTCTAAGACTTAAACAAGAACAATGTACTAAATTATAAACTTCATGTTTTTTTAATTCCAAATTAAATAGATATTATAATTAAATAATGTCTATATATGTTATCAAAAAACACTATAGAATATTAATATACAATGTCAAATTCACACAAGACTCTACTCCTTGCTGCCAATATACGATTAAAATCTAATTACTTCATCGCAATGCATAATAGTCGCATATTTGGAGGGGGACTTAGGGCGAGATTGGGGCTAGGGGTGGGGATAGAGTGGAGGTTTAGGGGGTGGGTTAGAGGAGTATGAATCATCAATTTTTCGATTGGAGCACTGTAGATACTCCAAAAACGCAGTGGCACTACTAGTGTCATCGTTGGCGAGTGTCAATGGAACCCAACTCTTTTATCAAATAACCAACAAAAATAAGGAAAAAAATGATTAAAGTTTAATTATGCAAATAATAACTGAGAAGATCATTTTAGTGGAAAGAGAATATTTAATTGTCAATGATTGAACAATACCAATCATTGACATTGACCCATCTACACACCATAAATACCATGCCATAGAGTCAATTCTACACACACAAAGCATACTATACTCATGAGTTGGAGTAAGAATTCAGATATTAAAACCATATTTTTTAGAATCGAATCGGACCAGTTTGGGTCTGGTTTGCCGGTTTGATGTCGATAGCGGTCTGAAGGACTGGACCGGATTGGTTCGAGTGCAATTTGCCGGTTCCCATGCCCAACTGGCCGGTCCGGAACGATTTTTAAAACTATGATTGAAACGAAAGGTCACACTCATTAATATAATTTTCGTCTCATATATTTTGGCCGGACAAGTACAATTTGCTTGATTATAATCTGTAAGCACAGAAAAACACGTTATCAACTAACTTTTACGTTAAAATTTAAACATGACTTATACATAATTCTGACCAGCATATAGGCACAAATAAACACCCATCATTACACTTACATCAAAAAATATACCCCATTTGTACACCACAGGGTTGCACAAACATTTCGATGGTTTACACCGACACAAGTGTTGGTGCGTCAATAAATATTCACACGGACACAAATGTTGGTGCGTTTAACAAAAATTAGTTTTAAACCAACACAAAGTGTTGGTGCGGGGTACAAATTGGGGTACAACCTTAGGGTACACATAACATAATCCTTTTTTAAACTAAACTTTTTTGGAAGGGAAGGTACATCTATTAGGTGAAACCTACGGTGGGACCCCAATAATTTTGTTGCAATTTTATTTTTCATCAAAATTGAATTTTTTTTAAAAAAAGTCTTTTGCTATAAATCCAACCCCACCCCCCTCAATATAAACCACACACTAAAAAAAAGGAGATCCAACTTTCTCCCCCCCTCTTCCATTTCAACACCTGCAACTCCCACTTCTCCATCTCCATAGACTTTCTTTTTTCTTCTTCACTTCATATTTTATATTTTAAGAAAAAAAAAAATGGATTATGAGATTTCTGGTGGGGATTCAGAATGTAGCAGTGGGTGTGAGTCTGGATGGACTGTCTACTTCGAGAATTCATATGTTTCTCCTCATCATCATCCTTGTCATGATGATGATGACGATGGTGCTTTTCTTCCCATGAAATCCGGGCTCTGTCGCAAAAGCCATTACGAGGAAGAAGAAGAAGAGGAAGATTTGTCTATGGTTTCCGATGCGTCTTCGGGTCCGCCCCATTTCGCCGAGGAAGACGACTGTGGAAATTACGGTTGCGGTTACGGTCACGGCGGCCGAGAGTATGGCCGCCGTGCTCCCCTGCTCAGTGCTCCCCCATTGATGAATAGGAGCAATGGGAAGGTGCAGAGGAGCATGGAGGAGAACAGGCGGTATCAGAAGAGTGTGGGAGCAGAAGAACCGGCTTCCGCTCTCGACGATACCGCCAGCTCTCCCTTCTTGGCCTTGATGAATGTAAGTGTTAAAATACCCCGCATTAGATAATTAAATAAGATCTTGAAAATTGATCAAATTTAATTACTTTAATCTGATTTGGTCAAAAAAATGTCTTTCAGTCGGTTCTTGAATTTTCAAGGAAGATATTCTTCGATTTCGAAGATGACACTAAGGTGGACACAGTCGATGTCACACAATATAATTATATATTCTGCTAGACATCACTAGTGTCAAACTTAATGTCATCCATTGAATTACACCTATTTTCTGTCCTTTTTCTTATAGGAAAATGCTAGAGTGCCACCACATGGGCGCTACCATGGGTGCACCCATGTGGTGGCACCTTAGCATGGTCCTTTCTTATATAACATGTCCGATTATCCCACAACGGCTGTATATGGGGTCGGCAGTTGGTTTATAAGTGTGACGCAACGTCTCACCTCATCACTTGAGAACGACTGTTAAACCGATTCCTTGACCGGTCCGGTCCATCACAACCGATGTGGGATGACCCGGCAAATTACACTCAATCTGGAATTCAAAAGATATTTGTGGTTGAAAGTCTTGAAAATATTTTTATGCTCTAATATTAATAGAGTTTTGGACTTGTTTGGATCTAATTAGGATGTGTTAATGGCATTTATGCAGAATAATTTCGCAATCAACGGCCAGGCTGAGAATGGGGTTTTGGATTTTTCACAGGGATTCTCCACAAATAATTTTGTGTGCCAAGAACAATATGGTTTCTATCATCCATCTCAAATTCCAGGAAACCAGTTAAGTATCGTTTTGACTTTTCGATGTCTTCAATTTAACATTTTGACCATTGATATTTTTATGTATGCGTAAGATATGATATTTTGAAATAATATTTCAAAGAAACATGTAAGGAAATTAAATTTGTACGATGTAATTTTTTCAATATGTTATGGTAAAATATTATAAACTTTGACCCAGAATGGTCAAATAGAAAAAATGTTAGGCATTTGGTTTTTTTTGAAGCATGATTGGAAATGGCAATTATTAACAATTTTTTTTTTACTTTTTTTTTTATTTTCACCAGGTGGTTTGAGGAAAAGAAGTGGGAATGATGGGAGGAAAAATGAACAGTGTAGAAGGAAATGAAGTTTTGGAATTGAAAGGAAAAGAAAAAAAAGGGAAACGAAAATAGATTTCCACTTGCTTTTTCTTATTTAATTTTCTTTTATTATGTTAATTAACATGCAGCAAGAAATAGTCGGGGAAAAAAAGTCATTTCTTGTATTCCCAGAATTCGATTTTTTCTAATGGATTAATATTAGTTTGGAATATTTATCATTTGTGGTTTATTTAATTAATTATTTAATTATATGTTTAGAGAAGTCAGAAAAGTATATTTTGTTTTGTCATGGGCCACTTCCACGTTACATTCCAAACTACCAAAAAGTTTAAAAAACTAACTAACAAACAAAAAAAGCTTAATAATGCCAGCAATTAGAGACAGATAATCCAAGTCAAACTTTAATTTCTGTCAAATTCTTCTTGTGATAACACACTCAAGTTTCAAGATGAAGAAATTCAAAATATGATGAAGAACAATACTAATTCTAGAGAAAAAATTACACAAATTTTATTGCTCTGTGGAATAATTCTACGGCGATAAATGATATATATTGATGATTTCAAAATATAGATTTATTTGAGTGTGTTTTTATGTGTTGATGTTTATTGCTGATAAACAATTTTTAATTTATAAGCTATTTTCAAATATTCTTTCGTAAAAGTAAAAATAACTTAAATGATAGATAAATCATTTGTAAATATTTATTAACGGTGAGGGGCAATTTGTTAATAATCCGGTCAAAACGAAAAATGAAAAAAACTGTCTTAAAAATAAGAAGCTAAGACTACTTATTTTTTTGGATTTTAAACAAAATTACTTATAAGTAATCCTGACCAGCTTACCTCATTTCTCCATCCACTACTTTCAACTACATAATTTTATTTTTCTTTCTGATAAATTATGAAACATCATTATGAAATGGAGAAAGTATAATAAAGATTACACGCTAGAAAAAAAATCCAAAAATTTTGGTTTCTTTCAATCGGTTCTAATCTATTAGGTCGGTTATTAAATAAAATATTTCTTTCACCTCATGTTTTCTAAAACTTTTTATTTGATTTTTAAATATGCAAGTTTAGTTTTTATTTTTACGCTAATTTGTAAATAGAATCATTTTAATAAATCATAAAATTTTGCAGGGTTCGAAAATATGTAATGTCATTTTGGGAGGGATGTAATATAATATAGATAATTTCCGTTGAATTTAAATTAATTTCTCTATGAGTTTCAATTTTCTTTCAGCTTTAAATCGAATTGAGGACTTCTTTCCTATGTCCTTCCTTCCCACACGTTTTCACTTCTTTTATAAAATTATTTTCAAAATAAAACCTCAAGTTTTGATGTAATAGGAAGATGGTGACTTTTTGACAATATATATGGCCCAAATCCTCACTGCGAAGCAAAATAAATAAATGAAAAAAAGAAAAATGCTCTCTATGATTGGGCATATAAAAAGTTAAAATTTCCACTCATTATTTACAATGCTTTAGTTATTATTGCATAAAGTTTTTTTACATCATTTGTCAATAAACTTTTTAAAAACTGTACGAATTTACTATGAACTTTAAACAATTGCACTAATGTCCCATTAACTTTTAAAAGTGTTACACCAATGATCTTTCTATGTCAGATTTTAGAGTACGTTAATTAAGCACTCATCAACATACGTGTTAGAGCTTGATGAATTGAAGATGTCAATGAATATGGAGAGGTTCATCGATTGAAGACGAGCTTTATCGACTAATGTTTGCCTTCAAATTTGGTTACCGACAACTAAATCAAGAATAATTATCTAGGGTTTTAAGATATCAAAAATATTAAAAATAGTATTTAGAAATGACATATTGCAGAACTCATGTGTGATATGTGACTTTAGATGAACCTATACTTGCATTGGATGAGCGTGTGTTTAACGCACTCCCAAATCTGGCACGGAAGGACCATTAGTGCAACATTTTTAGAAGTTTGGGAATCAAGAGGCATTGGTACAACTTTAAAGTTCAGGGAATTTTTAAAAATTATGGAGTAAATGGCGTAAAAAACTCATAACGTAATTACCTTAGATCAAAATTTTAAAAATTATAAATGTTAAAATTGTCCATTTCTTTTAACATTTTGTGAAGTTTTGAGGTGTCGCAATGTATCTAGGGACCAATGAAACAGTCTCTCTATTTTTACGTGAATAAAATTACATATATCTTGACCCTAGACCTTTGAGATTACATTGTTCTTGATTTTCTGGAATGAATAAAAAGCGGAAACAATTACTATCCAATGAAATAAGGTTAAACTATTACTCCCTCCGCTCCTAAAAGTTTTTCATGTTTTGACTTTTTTAGTCAAACAATGATACACTTTGACAACAAATTGTGAGAAAAATATATTTAATTATAATATGAATTCAATATAATTGGATTCATCTTAGGATATAGTTTTGATACATCATATTTTTATATCATTTATTAATTTAGATTATGTATAATTTACAGTCAAAGAGTGTGACTGTTTGACTAAAAAACGTTCTAATATGAAAGAATTTTAGGACCGAAGAGAGTAGTAATTAACAAAAAATCTTTGAAAAGGCTTGGCTACCTATAGTGCTATAATATGAACAAAAAATAAAAAATGAAAAACTCAAGAGTGTCTTGTAGAGCCCAGACAAGACAACATCCCAATAATTAAAGCTCACAAACACCAGCTGATAATAACTTTTTTGTTAAGTAAATTTTCTAAATAAAAGGTGGAAATTGAAGGGAAAAAAAAGAGACAAGACCAAGATAAAAATGCAAGGAAAGGGATGGGTAGTGGGAGAAATGAGGAAAAAGGCAAAAAAATAAAAAAAAAAGTGTAGGAAAAAGTCATATGCATTTTAGATCTTGCCTCTAATTTCCCAGACCCAAATACATATTTTTAATAACATTTAACAGTGGAGTGTAGTGTATATATGTCTTTGTGTCTGCATTGTTCTTCCACAATTTCTTTCACTTTTTTTTTTATTTTTATTTTTTATAAATAAAGAAAAATAAAAGATTAGTGCTTTGAATGTTTGTGGCCAAAGCATGGGGGAGGAGAAAGGAGAGGAGACCATTTCTGCCTTTGCCAACTACCATCAAACCAATGCCTTCAATGTGTGCATTTTATACACATTTAATTTATTTTTTCTTTCCCCTTCTTGGGTTGCTCCCAATCTCATGACACTAGACACTGCAGTCTACACCATGGAGTACAGCAAATCATGGCATCCCATTCCTTGCCCCTTTTTGGAGCTGAGGACACGCACGTTCGGCCTCGGTTTTTGCCCCATCATGCTCGCCCGTACGTGTGGGGCACGCAAGGGCTCGGGAGCCCGTTGAACGGACTCCCTCTCACGCACTAGTAGTGCGTGAAAAGTGTGGTTCCTAGGCACCCGTGATCGCGCCATAGGATCTGATTTTGGGGATTAGATCTGGGTCTAATTATCTCGGTTATCTCAGGATATGGAGGTGATTGTAGAACCCGCTTTTAACTTTTCAATTTCTATAGCTCGAAGTACCTTTTTTAGAAACTTCATTAAAAATTCTCTCGTCGTGCTTCCTTGGGGGATCGAATCTGGGCGAGAAGATCGAAGCCCCGAAACCCCTAAATTGGTCTTTCAACCCTTACTCAACCAAGGGAGCTTGCTCATTGCATTTTGTTAAAACAATCAACCATCACATTAACTCCATATAAGCATGGTATTAATTAGATCAATGAAAACCACATATTCATATTTAGTCATCTCCATAAAAAGCCCAGTACTAAAAGGGGCAAATCCGTCCAACTGAATTGGTGGTGTCCAATAAAATTCTAATTAATTCAACCCCTAAATAGATGCCTAGCTAGTAGCTAGCTTGCTAATTGAAGAACAAAAACAAGTTCAGTTAGAAAACTAGTACTGGTGTAGTAAGAACAAGAAAGTTACTTAGCTCATCTTGAATAATAATTGTGTGTGTATGTATGTGTCTATGTGTATACACACACACACACATATATAGGGACCGGTTCACGTGAGAATGAAACTTGTGGAGAGAAATGATAGCCTTTGGATCTGATGCATCGTGCGACTCAGATTGCATCATGCGCTTAGATTTTGAGATAGTGCATTTTCAAAGGATTTTGGTGCACCTAATTTTGATGCAATTCTAACCCTTAGATCTCACAATCTAAAACACCAGATTCATTCTAATTTCTCCTAAGATCGCATTCTCACCAGAATCAAAATATATAATTATATGTGTGTGTGTGTGTCTATGTGTGTATAGAGTTAATTCCATAACTGATCCTTTATAACAGGAGGCTTTCCATATTTAGTCCTCTATTATCAAATATAATTCTCGTAGTCCTTCTATTATGGGTGCCTTTCCACAAATGGTGTTTTTAATCTTTTGCTATGTTAGTGTTAATTTAAAGACTAAAAGTATAATTTGGCATCAACTTGATATCTAATGAGGTATTTTGATATTGGTTAAACGAGTAACACAAAAATTATGACTATGACTTTGAACTAAGATTCTGACGATAGACAACATCTCTAGACTATGGTTGTAGTAGAAAGTGATTGTAATTACAAACAATGTATCAAAAGGGACCTTTGTAATTCTATATGATAAGAAAGATATATTATCATTGTGAAATTACATGTTTAACCCTCAAATTAACATCAGCATGATTGAAGATCAAAAAAAACTATTTGTGGAAAGATACTTATAAAAGAATGACCATCGTGGTAATATTTGATAATAGAGGACTAAATAGGTAAATCTTCTAATTATAAAAGACCAATTATGGAATTTACTATATATATATATACAAACACCGGGGTTATATATATATATATATATATATATATATATATATATATATATATATATATATATATATATATATATATCGGCCCGGTTCTAGTGCCACTGGAATCCGGTGCCACCGGCATTTTGGGGCACCTCCGGTGCTCCGTTCGCAAAATTGACGATTCCTACCCCCCTAACCCACCCCCTGCACCCCCCACCCTACCCCGCCCCTGCACCCCCACCCAAACCCCGCCGTAAGCTCCCCACAAAATGTGTGGCTATTATGCAAGAAGCTTACGGCGGGGTTGGGGTGCAGGGGCGGGGTAGGGTGGGGGGTGCAGGGGGTGGGTTAGGGGGGTTGGAATCGTCAATTTTGCGAACGGAGCACCAGAGGTGCCCCAAAATGCCGGTGGCACCGCTAGTGGCACCGGATTACAGTGGCATTAGAACCCCACCCTATATATATATATATATATATATATATATATATATATATATATATATATATATATATATATATATATATATATA